TTATAATTACTTTTTTTAAAAATAAAAAAAAAAATTTAAAAATAATTCTCTCAATAATAATTTGTTTATTTTTTATTGTTAAAAAAAAAAAAAAAAATTTCTTTGTATTTTTCATTAGGATTTTAGGTGTTGATTTGATAAATTAATGAATTGCTATCCTACTGCCAGTTAAGAAAGCAATGAACTTTATTCTTTGCTGTTAATTTTTTTTATAATTGAGGTTTTTTTTTATGTTGTAATGAATATCAAAGTATTATTTATGATTGGCATTAAAACAACGTCTGTTAATTTATTAATTTTTTTGGTTGTTGCAGGAATTGATTTTAAAGTTAGAACAATAGATGTAGATGGTAAAAAAATTAAATTACAAATTTGGGATACAGCTGGTCAAGAACGTTTTCGAACTATAACCACTGCATATTACAGAGGTGCTATGGGTATAATGTTAGTGTATGATATAACAAATGAAAAAAGTTTTGAAAATATTAAAAATTGGATAAGAAATATAGAAGAAAATGCATCGGCTGATGTTGAAAAAATGTTATTGGGAAACAAATGTGAATTAGAAGAGAAAAGACAAGTAACAAAGGAAAAAGGGGAACAATTAGCAATAGAATATGGAATTAAATTTATAGAAACAAGTGCAAAAGCATCTATTCACGTTCAAGATGCATTTTATATGCTTGCAAGGGATATAAAAGCAAAAACGGAAAAGAAACTGGTCAGTATTACCTATTATTTTAATATTTCTTTAATTCCCGATAAAAATAAATTTTATCAAGTTTAAAAAAAAATGTAAATTTTATTAAAACTTCTAAAGTAGAATTCTTAAATTTATGCTATATTTATTGATTAATCGTTAAGCTAAGCTCTAGTTAATTTTTTTTTTTTTTTTAATAAACATTTAAGTTTATTGGTAGGACATTAGATAAATCTATATTTTAAACAATACCTTATCTTTAATTTATTTATTTTATATTTATAAAAAAATGGACTAATGGTTTGTTTAATTTTCAATTAATCCTGCTGGAAACTATAGAAGGTAAGGCAAAAGATAATTTTTTACGTAATTTTAAATACTAAAGTAGTGTGTATTAATGATTGATTTGATTTTGTTTTCAACTGTCAATGCTATAACCATTTAAATTAATTTTATTTTCCTGTGTCTTAGAAAAATACTTCTTGATATCGTTTTGCATGCTTTCAAATATGTATAAAAAAAAAAAATATGAAAAAATAATATTACGATTAATATTTTAAAAATCGTCTCATACGAATTTTGTTTTTTTTTTTTTTTAATTTAAAAACAAATGCAACTTTTATGATTTATTTTTAAAAGAAATAAATATAACAAAATTTATCTGTAAATATTAATCTGTTTTTTTTTTTTTAAATTTTAGGAGGCAAGCAATCCTCCAAAAGGAGGACATCAATTGAAACCTTCCGATGCACAAAAGAAACCGACTAGTTGGCTATCTAGATGCTTCTTCCTTTGACCACAGTTAAGTGCCCAAATTTATTAAATAAATTTTTTTTATAATATTTTTTATTGTTGCAAATATTATTATTATTATTATTATTATAATCTCAGCCCAGGCTCTAAAAGTATTTTTTTGTCATCTGTGAAAAATCATGTACGTGATAATAAATACATGTTTAATGTAAATTTAAAATTAGGAGGAAGAGGAAGACGGGGAAAAAAAAAGTATGGGGGGGGGTTTTTTTTTTTTTTTTTTAAATTTAATGAAACTTTCGTATGATTATTAATTTTCAACATTTTCAAAAATTTTACTTATTAATTTATATGCTGATATATTTTTATAATATATATATATATATATGTAAATTCGAAATATAAAAAAAAAAAAAAAAAAAAAAAACAAATCTACTTTGTATTCATGGTTCAGGGGCAAAATTATAAAAATGAGAATATAAATGCGGGTATTTTTTTTAATTAAATAATTTTTATATAATAGTTATTATTATTATTTTTATTATTATTTATTAGATGCTTTTTTTTTTTGTGTTGAGGTTCCCTTATCAGGATATTCGATTTAAGTAATTTACTCCGTATTATTAAAAGCTTTGTGTAAAATATATTCATAACTTTTTTCATTTCATAATAATAATAATATCGAAATGAATTTTTTTTTTAATAAAAAATTTTCTTATTACTAATAATATAATTGCTCTCTCTCTCTCACACTCACACAGCCAGCTAGATTGAAATTTTTTCAAATTTTGTTCTTTTTTAACCCATGGAACCATTAATATAAAATGATTTTTTTTTTCGGTTTAAAAAAAGAGAGTAAAAAGTAATTTTGATACCCTTTTTTTTTTTTTTTTTAACTACTACTGGGTCATGTTGAAAAAAAAAGTTAAATTGTGTTCTTGAAGATTTTAGTTTAATTTTTTTTTGCTTTAAAAAAAAAAAAGTTACATATTCGGCACAAATAAAGGAAAATTTTTATTTAAAGGGCTTTATTTTTTAATTTGCTTAATTTGTATTTAGTGTTAATTTTCATTATATAGGATATTTTATTAATAAATTTATAATTTTTTTTTTTTTTTTTGTATTTGGGTTATAATTTAAAAAAAAAAAGAAAAAAAGAAAAAAATTTAATAAAAAATACCTAATAATACAATATTACTACTATATATATTCGGTGTTATAAATTTTATATATTTGTTATTTATAATTAAAAACTTTTTTTTTTTTTTTTTTTTTTATTGAAATACATATGTAGTTATAATATATATATAAATTTTTTTTTTTTAATCAAAGACCGAAAACAGGGTCACAGTAATTATTATTATTATTATTTTTAATGTTTTTTTTTTTTCGCATGATACTGTGATACATTCAAATTTTTATATAAATCTCTGGTTGCTGTTAAAAAGTATTTTTTTATTTAAAATTACATACTAATGATTAATGAGTAAATGAAAATTTATTAAACCATTCGCTGTATTAATAATAAATTATTATTATTATTATTGAAATTTAGCCCGACTTGCCTTTTCATTCGTTTCGAGTATTAACAAACACACTTGACTCATTGCTAAATTTTAATCAAACTAATCATATTGATTATGTTGAAAGTTCAAAATTTATTTTCATTTAACTACTTCATTGTGTATCATAACAACTATTTTTTTTTTTTTGAAATTTATACAATATTATTATTAATTTTACACTTATCGAGTAATTTGTTTTTTTGTTAAGTTAGGTTTGATGTCGAGAATTATGTATATTTGTTATATACATTTATAAAACAGTAAAATGTTTTAGCAGCTGAAATAAAACATCACTATTTAAATGTTATTAATACATTATGAGAATATCTGTGAATATATTTTAAAATAATAAGAAAGAAAAATAATATTTTTTAATAATAATTTTGCTTTAAAGTAAAGTTCATTATTTAAATTTATGTTTATTTCATTTGTAATTATAAATACTCCATTTGATTATAATTGTAAAACCGAGTAATATATGTTGAAAAACTATTTACGATATTCGAAAGGAAGTCTAATTTAATTAATAAAGCTTTTTATTATGTTATTTATAATAATTTTTATATATTCCATAAATAATATCCTTTATTATAAAAAAAATATTTATTCATATGTAAAACTTTAAATGTTTAAATAAAATTACAAATATGGAATTTTTAAGTATTTTGTCATACTGTTATGTCTGTATTAAATTGTTTAAAAGTTACAGTTTATTAAAATAAATGAACTGTTTAACACTGTTTAATTATTATTAATTACTTGGATTTTATCAAACATCTTGATTTTTGTTTTTCGGTGCTTTCGATGTGTATAATGATATTTCCCATTCTTTTCTAAATTTTTTATATAGTTTCATGGCAGTTTTGGCATCTTCAATGGAATCATGTTCTCCTTCTTGAATATTTTCATTTAAAAACATTTTAGCTAATTTTTTTAAAGGAGGAGATTTCAAATCGTTGATTTCTTTAAAAGGTTCATATTTAGATGTGTCCCTTATAAGTTGCTTATGATGTCCAAATTTTAACACTTTGAAATCATTACCTAAAGCATGCCCCACTAATATTCTATTATATAATAAGTCTTTTACTTCTTTACGAACCACTTCGAAATCCGCACCGTTCATTAAATTTTCTTCCCTTATTCCACTAAATCTTGTTCTGTAATCCCCAACTTTTGATTGAGGTTTCACATATTTATCATAAATACATTCAAGTTTAAAATTAACTAATGAAATTCTTGCAAGCATATCTTGATTATTTAAATCAGACACCATTTCACAATCAAGAGCAACAACTTTAGTTATTTCAGGATAAGTTTTTTTATTTTTATTAATTAATTGAGATTTTTTTATTTCTTTAAATTCATTTTCTTCTTTATTTTTATTAACTAATCCATTGGGTCCCATAAATTTAACCCAATTAGGTGAAACATTTTGCTTGGATAAAGAAATAACGGGTTTTAATTTATTTTTATTATTTTCTTTAAAATTTTTTTGTACTTTTTTAATTTTTTCATTTTTAATGCACTTTGAGTGATGAGTTATTTTTTTTTTAGACATAAATACGTTATAAAAAAAAAAAAAAAATTTTCACGTGTTTTAACTAAGCAATGAAAATATATTCTTCTGCAATGAATTCCGATCAAAATCTAAAACCACGATATAAAACTTCGATAGTTAAGATTAGGCATGCTAATAATTAATACGTAAAATAAATATTCTGACGACTGAAATTATTTCGTTTTAAACAATTAATCAATTTGGTTATTTTTACCATTCATACAAATTCTTTAAATAAATATAAAGTGTGATTAATAATAAATAAACACTTGTTACTGATCTATTTTTCGAAAAAAATTAAAAGGTAAGTTTTTTTTTTTGTTTTTAAAAATATGTAAATAAATTTTAATAATTTTTAACAAAGTCAAAATGTTATATTTAAAGTGTTTGGTATATTTTATTCAATACTGTTATTATCGTATAAACTAAAAAGTCATAAATAATTTATAATTAATGGTTTTTTTTTTTTAAATTAAATTAAATAAAAAAAATTTCTAAGTTTGGTTATGATATCTTATGATAATTTATAAAAAAAAAAAGAAAAAAAATGTTAGTGTTACATTAAGAGAGTTAACATTTTTTTGTAAATCTCTTTTTAAGATTATTTTTAGCTATTTTTAATTTAAATATAGTTAAATTCTCTTAATTGTTTTATTTAAAAAAAAATAACGTTTTATTTCTGTGTACATAAAAAAAAAAAAAAAAAAATTTTTTTTAAATACTTTTTTTAATTACTTACTTAAATTTAAAAACATTTTTTTTTGAATTTAAGTAAATAATTACAAGAAAGATATTTATCGATTTCTAATTATTCTGGGTGTTGTAGGCTAATTTATTATTAAAAAGTTTTTTTTTTTTTAAATATAAGTAAATAAAAAAATTTTAGTTTCATATCTTATTAATACTAGGAAAACATTTATTCATGTTGATGCATTAAAAGAAAATAACAATTCAAAAATATTGAAACAAAAAAAAAGAATCATTATATAAGGTTTAGAATATACTACCATCGATTGAAAAATTTAAATTCGAGAAGTGGGAAAAAAGGCTACACTACTAGAACATTGACAAAAAATTTTTTGTTGGGAATACATTCGATTATTAAAGTTTTTGTAAAAAAACTTTATTGAAAATATATAATATGCGTCGTCGTAATCCTCAAGTTACAGAAGATCAACAACAACGTGATCTACTTTTGAGACCCCCTGATAAAACTCTTAAAGAAAAATTCAGGGATTTGTTTTGGGATCCGAAGAAAAAAACATGTTTGACGAGAACTCCAATCAATTGGCTCTCGATAACAATTTATTACTTTATATTTTTGACAATTGTCATATTTTTATTTTTATTAACTCTTTTCATAGTATATTTTTTAGTGAATGTTGATAGACCACAATATGTGCTTAAGGATTCCCCAATTGGAAGCACTCCAGTTTTAAGTGTTTTCCCTTTCGATGATGAATTTTCCATGATTTGGTTAGATTCGAATCGTCCTTATAAAAGTTACGTTGAAAAAATAAATAAGAATTTAAAAGATTATAATTCGACGAGTTCGAAATCGTTCAATATTTCGGATCTTGGCGATTGTGGGAAATCTCCATTTGGCTACGACAAAAAAACTCCTTGTATATTTTTTCGAATGACGAGACTTTTGTTTTGGACGCCCAATCCATATAGGGTAGATGACGATTTACCCAAAGACGTACCGTCCGATGTGAAAAAATTAATTGGAAATTCGACTAGTCCGAAAATTTGGGTGTCGTGCAACGGATCGACGCCTAAAGATCGCGATCACATGCCCGAAGGTTTTTTCGAATTTCAAGGGACTCAAGGATTCGATATAACGGCCTATCCGTTTCATAATCAAAATGGTTTCATCGATCCCATAATTGCGATGAAGTTGAATTTTAAAGAACCCGAAGGAACGTTGTTTACATTTACTTGCACGGCTTGGGGAAAGGAAATGGATACGAAAATAACCGCAGTCCACGTGAATTTTTTTATTGAATAGATTTGTTATATTAATGTATATTGTTTTATTGCTTCTTTGTTTACGGGAGAAGTAATGTCAGGTGTGCCACCACCACCACTACCACTACCACTCTTAAGGAAAAAACAAAGACTTTTGTCGGAAACGGAAAAAAAAATTTTGAGGGAAGCTTTTGAGTTATTCGATTCGAACAATGACGGTTATTTGGATTACTACGAGTTTAAAGCTTCGTCTCGTTGCTTGGGATTCCATTTGAAAAAATGTGAAATTCTCGGGATTTTGGATACTTATTCTCGCAGTAATAAAAATCAAATATCATTTGATGATTACTATGAAGTTAGTAAGTACAACAATATGAATTCCCCATATTCGATTCTTCAGATTCAATTCAATTATTTCGTGTAAATTATTAAAATTACATCAATCGGATTATACGAGTAAAAAAAAAAAAAAAAAAATAAATAAATAAATAAATAAATTGGTTTTTAAAAAAAAAATTTTTTTTTTTTACTTTCATTTATTATATATATATATATATTTAATCTCTTTTTTCATTATCAACTGACAAATTATTATTATTATTATTATTATGATAAAAAATTAAAGTAATTATTCTAAGGTATGGAACATGTATTGAAAAAAAAAAAAAAAAAAAAAAACTGAGTTATTATAAATTTTTTTTATCATTAGTGGAGGAAAAAATGGTGAAAAGAGACCCAATGGATGAAATAAAAGAAGCCTTTAAATTAATTGCAAATGATAAAACAAATACAATTACTTACCGTGATTTAAAATATGCCGTTGAAAAAATAGGTGCTGATATTTCAGACAGAGATTTAAGGAGTATGATTGAAGAATTTGACACTAAAGGACATGGAAAATGTAAGGGGGTAAAAAACAAAAAAAAAAAAAAAAAACAACCCTACTAGTACTACTACGTGAAAGAAAACGTCATTTCTATCATTTATTATTATTATTATTATTATTATTATTATTATTAATGAAAATGAAGAAAATTGCCTTTACATAAAAAAAAAAAAAAAAAAGAAAAAAATTTTTTATAATAAACCTTATAAATTTATTATTATTTTTTTTTTTTTTTGTTTTTTATAGTGGACGAAGAAGATTTTATTAATTTAATAACAGGAGAATTTTTTTAATTTCCATTATATTTGTACTCATGTTCTCGTTCGTCATTTATAAGATAATTTTTTCTTTGGCACTTTTAAACAGGTACGTTGAATAAATTGAAAGTAAATTTTGTAGAGACATTTTTTTTTCTCTCTCACTTGCGTCAAGTTTATTTGAGTATTTAGTAGAGTTAAGCCTGTAACCCTATTAGAGTAAGTTAGAGGAAGTTGGTTTTTGTTTTTAGAGTAGAAATTTATAACAAATTATTTGATTATTATTTTTTTTTGTTTGCAGAAATCGGCATGTCTGAAAACACGTATGAAAGAGCTGAAGCAAATAGGAATATAATAAGAGAAGGAACGAAAGCTTTATTAAAAACTTCAGAAAGTTTGATTCGTTCAGAACGTGCGGCTTTGGAAACAACCCATGCTGGAACTTCAATAGTTTCTGAACTTCGAACTCAAACGGAATCATTGGAAAGGGCAAAAAATAAACTCGATCATATGAACGATCAGTTGACTCAATCGAGAAAACTAATACATTTGCTCTACAGACGTGTTTTTACCAATAAATTTATTATCATTTTAATTATTATTTTAGAAATTGCCATACTAGTATCCATTGTTTATTTAAAGTTTTTAAAAAAAAGTTAACCGTTCAATAATTATTTTCATTATTTACAAAAAAAAAAAAACAAGAAACTGATCATTATTTACTTGATTTTTTTAATTCATAGATGAAAAATTTAATTTAATTTTTATTTAAAAAAAAAAAAAAAGTTTTTCTTTTAAAATGATTCATGTTAAAAATGTAGCCGTGGGAATTTCAGGTGGTGTAGATAGTGCCGTTGCCGCTTTATTATTGAAAAAAAGGGGATATAATGTAATTGGCGTTTACATGAAAAATTGGGATTTGGTCGATGAAAATGGAATATGTTCAACGTCTGAGGATTTAGAATATGCCAAATATACGTGCAATCAAATTGATATACCCTTTCACGAAGTTAATTTCGTCAAGGAGTATTGGAATAACGTGTTTGTTGCATTCACGAAAGAATACGAAGATGGATACACTCCCAATCCCGACATTCTCTGCAACAAATACATAAAATTTAATGCTTTTTCAAATTACGCGTTTAAAAAATTACGTGCGGATGCCATTGCCACCGGTCACTACGCGAAAACTTCATTTGGAAATTTTTTAGAAAATTACAAACCTCAAACGAAAGCAAAATTGCTCGTGGCTAAAGATATAATAAAAGACCAGACTTTTTTCTTAAGTCAAATACCGCAGGAAACGTTGAAAAAAACAATTTTCCCATTGGGTGATTTGCATAAAAGTGAAGTGAAGAAAATTGCAGAAGAGAATGATATGAAAAAGTTATCCAGGAAACCAGAAAGTATGGGTATTTGTTTTATAGGCTCTAGAAATTTTCAAACATTCATAGATCAATATATAAAACCGAAACCTGGGAAATTTATTAACATGATAACTGGGAAAGAAGAAGGGAAGCACGATGGAATTCACATGTGGACAGTGGGTCAAAGATGCAGGATAAAAGGATTTTCCGTTCCGAGATTTGTGGTGAAAAAAGATCCGACAACAGCTAACATTTGGGTCGTGGCAGGAACCAATCATTCCTTGCTTTATAGTTATATTTTTGTGACAGAAAAACCATATTGGATTGCTGAACCTCCGAATAATTTGTACTACGGATGTAAAGTTCATTTTAAGTTTCAGCATGTTAAATCAACGACAAATTGTCAAGTTATTAGCATAAAAAATGACAACTTACTTGTTATTATTGATAAACCGTTAAGAGCACTCACACAGGGACAATATGCTGTATTTTATCAAGAAAATGAATGCCTTGGGAGTGCGAGAATAACTCATGTAGGGCCCAGTCTTTATTCGTTAGGATTAACTGTGCCTGAAAATTATGAGGAATATGCTGAAAAGTGTAATTCAGAAACGAAAAGCATTAATACTCAATTGTAAACTTAGTGCAAATTTATTATTATTTATTTTAATCAATTTATTAAACCTACAAACTGTTAATATTAATTACTGTAGGTATAAAAGATTTTATTTTAATTATTATAATGTCGTAATTCATTTTTCTTTTTAAATGTTATGTCTTTTATATTAATTAAAAATCTAGTCTTTATTTATTCCTGAATGTTAAAAAAAAAAAAATTGCTTCATATCCTAAAAATTTGTAACAATTATTCCTAATAAAAAAAAAAATTAAAGCATTTTAAAAATTATAGAATATTAAAAAGTATTTTTTATTTTAATCAAACTTCTTTTTCCACACCATTTTAAATAATAATAGTAATGACGGAACAACAAATTACACGAAACGTGTCAGAAAAAATTTTTTCCCGGGTAATGAAAGTGGCAGAAGATTATACTCAGTAACAAGTTGTGCGTTTTCAATTTTGGTTCTCGTGATTTAGTTTTTCTTTTTTAAAATCAGAACAATGCAGCCTCTTGTGGAAACAAGAAATAAAGTAAATGGAAAATTTTTAAGTGATTTTAGTGGTAAACCGATAACAATTTTAGGAAAAGTTATAAAAGTAAGTTTTAATTTTCATTTAATATTATTACAATTAGATATACCCAATTACTCAGCTGTCAGTATTTTCAGGTTCATTCAAATGGTACATTGTTTGAAATGAAATCTACGGATAATCAAATTATTACAGTTATTTTGAATGAACCTTTGTCTGAAAATTTAGAAGGGTGGATTGAAGTTAGGGGAAACGGTCAAGGTAGAAATAGTGTCATTTGTCATAAGATTTTAAATTTGGATGATATTTGTCATTCTATTGGTATGTTTGATGTTATAAATCTATCTCATACAAATTCAGTTGAAGGTTTTGTAGTTGCACAGTTTTTTTTTCATGTGATAATTTTTGTTTTAGATGCTGAACTATATGATGATCTTATAAATGTTATAAATTCTTGTTCCAATCCTTGGTCATCTTAAATAATCTTAAATGAAATTAAGTCAGGAATTTGATTTTAATTATTTCAAGTTAGCTTGAAATGCAGATTACAGGTCTTCACAAACAATAATATGAGCATTTGAAATAATTTGATAAAAATTCATTTATTTATTTATTTTTAACAATTTTTTTTTCTATTTGCAATAATAATTATATTGCCTACATTTAAAACTGTAAAATTAATGAAAAGTATAAAATATATCATTTTCTTATTTTGCTACAACAATAATTATTACTCGATGCATTTTATACTGAATATAAAATAAAATTATGATTTTGCTAATGTTAAAACATGCGAAATAACTTCATCAACCGATTGATTATTCAATAACGTTTTAACTGCAGTATCATCAATAACAACAGTGAAAAGCAATTTTGCATTTTCACGAAGTCTATCCAATTCAGACAAATCCGGATTCTCCACTGGTTGATGTCCGCATCTTTTGATAACTAAATCCAGAATTTTATCAATCGGTGAATCTGGAGCACCGAAACTTTTCAAAGTCTCTTCATCAACCAAAAGTTTTAACAATTCCGAAACGGCTTCGGGAAATGATGAATTATTGTTTTTCAATTGGGAGGCTGGTACATTACTATCAGGTTTTTTTACTTCATTCGTGATGGTCCACAACTGTAATTGTAATTTTTTCTTTTCTGCCTCCACAAGAATTTCTTCTAATTTATCACGATGCTTTGCACGCATGTGACGTAACAGACAATCTTGTCTGATAAAAGCTCTGTTACAGTAGTTGCAAGCTCTCGGTGGTTCTTTAGTATGAGTTAAAAGATGAATTTTCAATGATGATTTCATTGAAAAACCTTTCGAACATATGTTACACTGAAAAGCTAAATACATATTTTTTTGTAAGAATTAATTGAAAATAAATAAAAAATTAGATAAATGAAGGTTATTTTGTTTTTACCTTTAACACCTGTGTGAGTCAATGTGTGTCTAGCAAGATCCTCTTTTCTTATGAAATGTCTATCACAATGTTCACATTTCATGGGTTCGGCTCCATCGTGAAAATATTTTTTGTGTGTATCCAATCTGGTTTTTCGATTGAACGATTTATCACATTCATCACACTTAAAACCATACTCGCCTAATTTTAAATAATTTTACATTCATAATTTTGCTTGTAAGTTATTTATTTTCTGGTTAAAACGGTTTTGAAAAATTTTTACCTGTGTGATAAAAAACATGGGCTCTTAATTGTGAAGCTTGAATAAAACCTTTGCCGCAATACTTGCACGTAAATGGACGAACTCCCGTGTGTAATTTACGATGACGATTCAAAGTTTCCTTTGCAGCAAATTTAGTAAAACACTAAAAAATTTATATTAAAAAAAAAAACATCAAACGATGGGTATCAAGTTGACATTTTTTTGTTTCAATTATTTTTACTCACCCTGACAGTAACCAAGATTAGCAATAAAAAAACAAATTCTAAATAAATAATTGATATAAGCTTACTGCTTACACATAAAAGTGTGTACATTTTTTTTATAAGTGGTTGACTTACTTCATTACATTCATAAGGTTTTTCTCCTGTGTGTCTTCGAATATGTTTTTTTTGTGCACCACTTGTTCTAAAACGTTTGTTGCAAAATGAACAGGGATATGGTTTGTTACCAAAATGTTCTTTCTTGTGCCTACTGTATAAATGAGCGCCCAAAATTTCTTGGTCACAGTATTCACATTGATAAACATTAAGGCGTTTATTCACTCCAGCATGAGCTCTTAAATGTTCTCTCAAATTATCTTTTCGATTGAAATTACGACCGCAAACCTAATTTTCAAAATAATTTTATGAATTAGTACTCTATTTGTAATTTTTAATTATACATATTTAATTTTAGAAATATTACTTGACAACTGTAAGTGGGCCTAGAAACCCCATCACATCCAGTTTGAAGAATGTGTCTGTCCAAATGATATTTTCTAGTAAAAGTAACATTACACCTTTCGCAAGACCAAGGTTTCGAGTCTGTGAGTATGAAAAATTATTTTTTAATAAATAAACTACAAAAAATTTTCTAAAATTAATGTTAATTATAAAGTACATACTATTGTGTGTATATAAATGATTGGACATAGCACTTTGATTTTCACATTCCAATGAACATTCTGGACAAATGTATGGCCCTTCTTCTTCGTGAATCAATTGCTTGTGTAATTTCAAATTTTTGCTAAACTGAAATTTTTTATTGCAATCTGTGCACTCATAATCACCTGCCTTTAAAAAATAAAATATGTTACAATAAACAAATACAAACCATAATTAATTTATAGGGTGATACTCACTGAATGATCTGTACTCGAATCTTCTCCACAGCAATGACACAGCCCATTTAGGCTAGACTCCTTTTGTAAACCTAATTTATCTTGTTTTGAGCACCATCTATCCATGTGTCTTTGTCTTCCCTAATTAAAAAGAAAAATTCATTAAATTCACAATTAAAAAAATGGAAGCTATTCTTTTAAAATAAAATTTGAAAACATCATGTAATTTTATTTATACACGATTACAATCTTTATCAATTTTGTAATATACTAACAAATAAGCTCTTAAATGTTCGTGGACAAGTAGCACACATAAATTCTCCATTTTCAGCGACAACTACTTGTTCATCAATTTTGGTCTTTTTAGCCGATGATGGAGCCTTGTTTTCTTTACTGCTGTGTTTTTCATTTAAATTATTTCCTATATTTAAAATATAATTTATTTTAATGAAAAGTATTAATTTTAATTGAAAAATATTTAATTGATTTTACCCTTATCTGAAGAATTTTTATTATTTTTTTGAGCAGTTCTTGCACTTCTTCTAACAAATCCCTTGCAAATCGTTTCTTCTTTAATTATCTCATCATCTTGTGAGATATCTGATAAAAAAATTAATTGTTTTATAAAATATAAACAACAACAAAAAAAAATTGAAAGTTTAATTAAATTAAAAATTTATTACCATAGGGGTCTGATTTAATTGTTTGTCCATTATTTTCCTGCTCGTTTTTATCCTGTGTTTCTTCTGTAGACATTATACCGATATTATCAAATTATTAGGTATTAAAATAATTATACTATTTTAATTATTAATATTACTAATTGTGAACTCTTTATTTCTATTACTTTATATTCAAAAAATAAGAGACAGTCATATTTTGAAGAAAAAAAATTAATAAAACGCTTATTTGTATAATAACACGAACGTATGGCGGATTGCCTAAAAGCAAATATAAAAAAAAAATTATTAGGTATATTTGTTTGGAATTGTATCTAATAGATGGAAAATAAGATTTTATTTTTTTATTTTTAAATTAGTCATATTTTTATGCATTGTAATTTTCTCTTAATATGTATAGTTCAAAATTTAATAGTCTTTTAAATGTAATTTCATCCTACCTTCTTTAGTTCACTTTCTCCGCGTCATCAACATAATGAAGGTGGACTACTTCCAAAAAAATTTTTGATTACATTTTAATAAATACTTTATTAAAAATGTAGAACCTATTATTATTTAAGTTTAACCGTCGTTTAAAATTTAATTTATATTAATTATAAATTACGTACCACAAAATATTGAGTAAAACTTCGTAAAGTTACGCATTAAAATTCATATACACAAATCTAATTCATTTTTCATTAGCGCACAGGCATTTAAGCGCGAATGTTTCAAAACCGACTTAATTGTTTTAGATCTTACCGTTTTCATGGTAACAGAAATTTAAATTAGAAAGTATTACAAATGAAAATAAAGTTTTAGTGTTAAAGTGTAAAACTTTATATTTTCATTTATAAAATAAATATGAGTGAGGATGTGAAACCTGAAGTGATTAAGGCGACGCAAGATGCATTAGGAAAATTTATTAAAAAGCCTATATTAACCGATAAATTACTTAAAAAGCCGCCCTTTAGATTTTTACACGATATATGTACTTACGTAAGGTTTTTTTTTTTTTTTTTACTACAGTACTTTGTACTATATAATTATCGACATTAAAAATGTCACGAACATTTTTTTTTTTAGGCAATGAAAGAAACTGGATATCTGACTAGTGTTATTAATCAACCTGAAGACAAATTTGAAAATATTAAAGATAGGGAAGGTAAAATTGCTTTTTTACAAAAAGTGATTGCCGCAGTAGGTACGTGAACTGATTAATTTGTTTTTTGCACTCTTTTAAGCAGTGTATTATGTATTTGATATTTTTTTTCTAATTAGTAAAATATATTTGTTTGCAGAAGCATCTAATGGTACCAAATTAACAGTCAAACCTACGAAAATTGTGGCTGGTTTGGAGGCAACAAAAACCAATGAATTTTTACAAGCGTTAGGAAAAGCAATAAAAAAATATGTAAAAAAAATTTTAACAATTTTAACTATTGTTTTAAATGTGCATAGAAGAAACAGGTAGATAATTATTTTTCTAATTTTCAGCAAGTAGAAAGTAAATCCACAAAAACATCTAAAACCAAAACTAAAACTTCTAGAAGTCATTCGAAAGATACAAAAGAGGTAAAAAAAAAAAAAAAAATGGTGGAAAACATTTGTTTGTATTTATTTAAATAATAAAAATTAATTTTTATTATTAATTATATTAATAACTATTTATTTTTCAAACTTTCAGGATTTGCAAGACAAAAAATTAGAGAAAGGTTCTACAAAGTCTTTGAAAACTAATTTAGAAACTCAAGAACAAGAAAACAATATTAAAAAACTACCAAGCGACAATAATACACCCATATCAGGCACAAAAACAAAAAATAAAAAAATTGAAGAAGGAACTGTTAAAGAAAATGATAAGAAAACTCATGATAAAAAAACAAAAGAAAAAAAATTAAAAATTGAACATGAGGAAGAGAGTAATACATTAAAATCATCTTCTGGAAAAAGCAAAAATAAATTGGTCGAATTAAATAATTTAAATGGTTCTGGAGAAAATGTCGATTTGCAAAATGTGGATGTTATTCGAGTTAGTAACACAAATGGTCAAGGGGATCATAAAATTATTGAAAATGAAATGAAAGAGCATGTAGAGCACGTAGAAAATGAAGAAGTTAAAAGAAAAAATACTGGAAAGCAAAAACATAGGCATTCTCCGACAGGTTTTTTTTCTTTTACACAAAATTTCACAAAACATTTTATCTCAGTTTTAGATAAATCAAATTAAAACTTTTTTAAAATTTTTAGTCAAGTCTGGTTTACACGAAGAAAGGAATACACATGAAAAATTAAATGAAATAATCCAAAATAAAGATACAGTAAAAGATCAAAAACATGAGTTGGATGAAAGTCAAACACATGATAGAATTCATTCTTCATCTCGACCTAAAAGTATTCAGCAAGAACAAATACCGATAACTAGTCCATCAGAGTTAAAAAGTTACCAGAAAAAGTATTTAAACTTAATAATTTTATTTCATTTTTTAGTATCATTATAAATATAAACATTAAATTTTTTTAGGGAAATTCCTTTAGCCAGGGAAGGAAGTTTTATTTCTAGACCAAAAACTGGAATCAGAGTTCCATCAGTGAGACCAGCAAGTGCTAGACCAGCTGCTCCTAGAATCAGAGAAAAAACAGAAATTGTAGAAACGGACGAAACCAAAAAGTAAAAAGGCTCGAATACTTTTTACGAGTAAATTTTGTTGTTAAATAATTGCAGTATTTAATTTTCCAGGGCGCAGATAGGAAAAATAAATGTTATAGTCGATAAAGAAATCAATAATGATGCAGACGACGATAATTTAATATCATTAGAAACTACTAACGATATATTACTTGAAGAAATAACAATCCCAACGCCTTCACTTCCGGAATCAAAGAGGGGGGGGAAGGCGAACACGGTCATTTAGTCGAACAAATTTTAGAAGTACAAAAAGAACTTGAAGAGAGTAATAATCTCATGGTGGCATCAGAAGAAAAACCATCAGATAAAACAGAAATTGTAAGAAAACCCCCGAGTTTTAATGACTCTCGCCAACATTTTGAATTTTTACATTTTTCCTTCCTTCCTTCCTTTCTTTCAGGAATGGGAATTGAGTAGGAATTCGGAATCGGCAAACAGAGAATTAGATAAACTTCGTGCAAACATACAAACTTTAACTCGATCTGCAAATCCTTTGGGAAAACTATTGGATTTTTTCCAGGAAGACGTTGATACTATTCAACGAGAATTGGAAAGTTTGAAAAATAAAAATTCGAGTTTGATCGTCGAGATAGCTCATGAAAAAAGGTACGTTAATTATTATTTATTAACCTATAGAAAAGTCTAGAAACCTAGATTTTCCGGATGAAAACCTACATTTTAAATTTTTTATATATTTTAGTATAACCGAACAATTTATCGAACCTTTAAAAGTTCATTTAAAAGAAATTCAGCAAAGTATAGACGAAGAATTCGAACAGATAACGGTCGTGAAAGCTAACATTATAAGGAATAATATAAAAATACAAAAATTATTAGCCGGAATTTAACATTCTAATTCGTTATTAACAAAATAACACGTAGATTTTATTTATTTAATATTAATATATATATATATATATATATAATATTATTTATAAAGTTACGTTACATAATTCTAGTCACGTGATTATTGTTTTAATCATTAACACAAATAAAAAAAAAATATTTGCTTTTAATTTTTTTATCACTCTGACGTCATTAATTAGATATTTAAAAACTTTGGGTCAAAATTCTTTAGATTAAAGTTACAACAACAAAAAAATAATAATAATAATAATAATTTGAAATCTTTACTACATTGCTATGATAATAATATTAATTACTTATATTTTTTTTTTTTTTTTTTTAAATGAAAACAAATTTTTAATTTTAAATTTTAAAAGGTTTGCATTTATTAACAAAAAAAAAAAAAAACCTTTCTTGACCTTTCACCCCGAATGAGGAGGAATAATAAAATAATTTTTTTAAAAAAATTAATTAAAAGAAAAAAAAAATTATTTAATTTTAATGAATTTATTTTATTGTCAAGTTATATATTAACAAACAAAAGTTATTTTTTTAATCATAATTTTATACAAAAAAATTATTTAATTAAAATTTAAATCCTTCCATTTTAACTTTACAAAAATAAAACAAGATGGAGACGATTGAAATCAATTGCAAAATTTTGAAATTTTTTTTTTTTTATTTTAAATTTTAAAAAAACGTCCATTTATAAAATTTTTTTTTCTATTATTTAAATTTAAAATAACGGTGGTGAATAATAATAATAATAATAATAATAGAATAATAATTTAAATAATTTCAAAATTTTTTTTTTTTTTAAAAAAACTTTATTGCTAACAAAAAACTTTCTTTACCCCAAACTAAAAAAAAAATTTTCTTTCTTTTATTTAGTTTTTTCTGAAAAAAATTCTACTGATATGTATATAACATTTTTCTTCAAATATTTAATTTTTTTTAAAATAAAAAAAAATATTCGGTTGTCAAAACGCAAAAATTATTTTTTTATATATATTTATTTAAAAAACAGAATTTTTTGCAATCCTTTGCAAAGTTAAGAAATTTGTGCTTTAATTAGTCATAAACAAAAAAAAAAAAAAAAGAAAAAAATTAAATAAATGAAACAAAAAATAACGTTTAATAAACTTTTAAAGAAAGAAAAAAACAAGAAATACAATTAAAAAAAAAAATTAAATTATTAATTAGTAACAATAATCATTGATACGTATATATATATATAATTGCAAAATAATTATCAAATTAATAATTTTTCATCATCATCATCATCATCATTATTATTATTATCATTGTTCTTTTTTTTTTAATATATTATTTAATCTTATAATCAATATAATAATAATATTATTTGTTACATATATATATATAATATTTATATAATCCGAATACACAGCCTTAATATTTTTAAATATCATTCGACAATATTTAATAATAATAATAATTTAATTTAATTTT